AAAAAAGGCGCTCCTCTATGGCCTGTGGCAGGGTGTGGTCACGCACAGTGGCTGTCCCCGCAGGACGCTGTTTGCAGAGCTCAGTCCCAGAAAAGCCCAGTGTGCAGAGCAGTGCCCAGGGGTCTGCACCAGCGCTTCTAACGGAAATGCAGCGTGAGCCACGGTGTGAGTGGAGCGAAACACTTGATGAATTTTTTAAAATTATTTTGTATATTTGAAAGACAATGTGGAGAGAGAGAGAGAGAAAGATATCTTGTGTCTGCTGGTTCACTCCCCAAATAACCACAGTAGTCACAGCCGGGCCAGTGGAAAGCCAGGAGCCCGGAACCTCATCTTGATCTCCCACGTGTGTGGCAGGGACACAGGTACTTGAGCCACCGTCTGCTGCTTTCCAGTGACTTTACCAGGAAGCTGGATGAGAAAGTGAGCAGCCAGGACTGGAACCAACATTCCATTAGGGGATGCGGGTGTCCCACGCAGTGGCTTAACCCTCTGCGTTACAACTGCAGCCCCCAGAGGATGAATTTTAATTACTTATTTTAATTAGCACCACGTACCTGAAATACCTAGACCAGACTTGAGGCAGTGTCTGTGCCCTGTTTCATACGAGGTCTTTGACACTGCATGTCTGGCGATCTTGGTTGCAACACTATGACTGGAAAAGCCTGACCCCTGGTTAGAGTGCAGCTGGCAGGGCAGGTGCACCCCCATCCCCAGGCTGTGCTAGCGCATTCTTCCAGGTTCCCTCAAGCTGCAGGGAGCACTCCAAGTCCTTTTCCTCCCCGACCCCCGTGTTCACCGCACTGACCCCCGACTTTGAAGTGAGCAGCAGCGGTGGGGCCATGTCAGAGGACAGTGAGTGCACTGGGGCCTGGCTCCCCTGAGCTGACGGGAACGCCCTGTAAACCGCCAGTCTGTCCGCAGAGACTCCCTCCGTGCCCCTGTGTGGCTCGCGGCTGCCCCGTGTCAGGGTCCCTGGCCGAGGACCGACGCGGCGTGTGCTGCCCTCGTTCCGTGCAGGGGTGTGTGACTGCTGTGTGCACCGCTTTGACCACCACTGTGTGTGGGTGAACAACTGCATCGGGGCCTGGAACGCCAGGTACTTCCTCATCTACCTCGCGACGCTGGCGGCCTCCGCGGCCTCCGTGGCCGCCGTGAGCACGACGTTCCTGATCCACTTGGTGGCACTGTCGGACCTGCACCAGGAGACATACGTGGACGACCGTGGACACCTGCAGGCCGTGGGCGTGTTCTTTCTGGTTCAGGTAACTGTTCTGTGGGCTGTTGCCCCTGCTGGCAGCTTCCAGAGATGGAGAAAGGAGGTCTATTTTCTCAGCTGTTCCTCTTTAGAAAGTGACTACCATCATGTTGTACGTCACTGTCCGCAGGCTGAGCGGATTCGCAGGGCTCGGTCGGTATCACCCAGGACGTTTCGTTGCTCTACAAAGAAACACTCTCCATTCCCCCTTCCCCAGATCCGGCAACCACTTATCTTTCCTTTTAAAAAATATTTTGGGGTCGGCACTGTGGCATAGCCAGTAAAGCCGCCACCTGCAGTGCCGGCATCTCATATGGGTGCTGGTTCGAGTTCTGGTGGCTCTACTTCCAATCCAGCTCTCTGCTGTGTCCTGGGAAAGCAGTGGAAGATGGCCCAAGTCCCTGGGCCCCTGCATCTGTGTGGGAGACCCCTGGAAAGCTCCTGGCTCCTGGCTTTGGATCAGCCCAGCTCCAGCCGTTGCAGCCACCTGGGGAGTGAACCAGCGGATGGAAGACCTTTCTCTCTCTCTCTGCCTGTGCCTCTCTGAAACTCTACTTTTCAAATAAATAAATAAATAAATCCTTTAAAAATATTTTATGTATTGAAAGGCAGACACACGCACACAAAACCAGAGGGAAAGGAGAGAGGGGATAGAGACCTTCCACCCGCTGGTTCTCTCAAATGCCTGCAATAGCCCAGGCTGGATCAGGCTGAAGCCAGGAGCCTGGAGCTCATTCTGGGTCACCCACGTGGGTGGCAGGGACCTAGGTGCCTGCGCCATCACCTGCTCCCTGCCAGGGCGCCGTGAACAGGAAACCGGATTGGAAGTGGAGCCGGGTCACACACCTGGGGACTGACATGGGACGCTGGCGTCCGAGCCGCCCCACGCCTGCCTGCTTCCTGACTGTCCCTTTCCAGGACATCTCTCTCAGTGCAGTGACGTGCTGCGCGGCCCCTCGCACTGGCTTCTGTGACCCGGTGCACGCAGGGCTCCTCTGTCGCAGAGTGTGTCAGAACTGCTTTGCTTTTCTTTCTTTTCTTTCTTTCTTTCTTTTTTTTGGGGGGAGGGGTGTAGAGGATTTTTTTTTTTTTTGACAGGCAGAGTTAGTGAGAGAGAGAGACAGAGAGAAAGGTCCTCCTTCCATTGGTTCACACACCCTGGTCGCACGCGGCCTCCCGACACCGGCCTCTTTGTTTCTGTGGCTGAAGGCGTCCTGTGTGGATTCCCCGTGTTTTTGGTGGTTGATGAACATGTGGGTGTTTCCTCTTTCTGGCTGTCTTCGCAGGATGCTGCGAACATTCACGTGCAAGGTTCGCCTTTTTGAGCGAGCACGGGGGAGTGCAACTGGTGAATCCCGGTAACTCTGCACAGCCAGAGGGGCTCCGGGCTGTTAGCTGCGCGTCTGTGCCAGCGGGAGCGAGGGCTGCTGTTTCCTCACCTCCTGGCAGTGCTTGCCTCACCTCGGTTGTTCATCACAGTCATTCTGAGGGCATAGGAAGCGGTGTTTTATCTTAGTGTTAATCTCAGTGTGCTGTAGAATGTTTTTTCACGTGCTTATTGGCCATTCGTGTGTCTCTTTGGAGAAATGTCTTTTCAAAAGCTTTGCCCAGGGGCCACCTTTGTGGTGTAAAGCTGGGTAAAAGCTGCCGTCTGCAGCGCCAGCATCCCATATGGGCGCCATTTTCAGTCCCGGCTGCTTCACTTCTGATCCAGCTCTCTGCTGTGGCCTGGGAAAGCAGTGGAGGATGGCCCACGTGCACCCACGTGGGAGACCCGGTAGAAGCTCCTGGCTCCTGGCTTCAGATCAGCACAGCTCCAGCCGTTGTGGCTGTTTGGGGAGTGAACCAGCAGATGGAGGACTGGAGCTTTCTCTCTCTCTCTGTAACTGCCTTTCAAATAAATAAAATCTTAAACAAACAAAACAACCAAAAACCATTCCCCAGAGGCAGGCATTGCGATACAGCCGGTTACGCTGTCACTTAGAATGCCCACATCCCTTGCTGGAGGGCCTGGTTCAAGTCCTGGCTGTTCCAAGCTTCTAATCCAGCTTCCTGTTACTGCACTTGGGAGGCAGTGGATGATGGCCCAGTGCTTGGGTTCCTGCCACCCATGGGGGAAACCCAGATGGAGCTCTTGGCTTCAGCCTCTCAAAGCCCCAGCTGTTGTGGCCACTTGGGAAGTGAGCACCCGTGGATGGAAGATCTCTCTCTCTCTCTGTCTCTGTCTCTGTCTCTCTCCTTCTCTCTGTCACTCTGCCTTTCATATAAAGAATCTTTGCCCATTTTACAAATTGGGCTATTTGACTGTTATTGTTCTAAGAGTCTTTAAATATATTCTAGACACTAGACCCTTATCAGCTATATGATTTTTAAATATTTTTTTCTATTCTATGGGTTGTCTTATTATTTTTTTAAAAAAGGATTAATGAGAGAGAGAGAGAGAAAGAGAGAGAGCGCTCCCATGCACTGGCTGATTCTCCAAATGCCTGCAGTAGCTGGCTGTGTTCAGGCCAGAGCCACTAGCCTGGAACTCAATCCAGGTCTGCCACATGGGAAGCAAAACATCACCTCCTCCCAGGGTCAGCAGTGGCAGGAGCCAGAGCCAGGACTGACTTGGGAACACTGAGGCTAAGATGCCCCCCCACTCTATTCTGTCACGTGAACAAGATCTACGTTTGTTTTTCAGAGCTGCCACACCCCGAGTAACCGTTCCCTCTCCTTCCAGTGCAAACTACAAGCTCTAGGGTTATTCCTAGGCTGCTCGCTACAGCTGGTTTTTGTTTAAGATTTATTTATATGAAAGGTAAAAAAGGAGAGAGAAAGAGATTGCTTCTCCGTCCCCTGGCTCGCTCCCCAAATGCCCACACAGCGGGGGCTGGTCCAGGGGTCTGGAGTTCCATCTGGCTCTCCCACGTGGGTGGCAGGGGCCCAGGTGCATCAGCAGGGAGCTGGACTGGAAGTGGGCTTGCCCTGGCGCTCTGATGTGGGATGCCGGGGTTGCCGGTGGCAGCCTAGCCCCACGGGGGCCTTGCCTCTGGCTGTGATCTGTGTCCGGTGGGTCTGCTGAGGAGCTGGCCTGGTGTGCGTGGGCAGCACCAGGGCTGGTCCTCGGCGTGCTGCGGTCTGGTGCTGATGCGCTGCCTCCTCTTTGCCCCCAGTCCCTGTTCCTGGCCTTCCCGAAGATCGTCCTGCTGCTGGGGTTCGTGGTGGTTTTGAGCATCCTCCTGGGCGGCTACCTGTGCTTTGTGCTGTACCTGGCTGTCACCAACCAGACCACCTTCGAGTGGTTCCGATGGGACTGGGCGCGGCGCCAACGCTGCCCCCTTGTGGCCCAGCCCCGAGTCTACCGCAACATTCACCGCCATGGGCTGGGCAGCAACCTCCGGGAGATATTTCTGCCGGTCGTCCCCGACTGTGAGGGAAAGAAGAAATAGGAACGCGAAGAGTATGGCTGCCTTTTAAATATATTGTACTTTTATTTATGCATGTGGATACTAATTTTTTAAGCATTTGGTTTCTTTTTTTTTTAAGATTTATTTATTTATTTATTAAAGCGTTACAGAAAGGGAGAGAAAGAAGGAGAAAGGCCTTCCATCCACTGATTCGCTCCCCCAGATGGCCAAGACCATCATGCAGGCCTGCCACGTGGGTAGCAGGGGCCCAAGGACTTGGGCTGTTTCCCCAGGCCATTGTCAGGGAACTGGATCGGAAGTGAGGCAGCCAGGAAACGCAGTGGCACCGGAGGGGACGTCGCAGGCGATGGTTTTACCCACCACACAGTGCCGGCCCCTGCCGTGTGTTTCTAAGTGGACCGTGAGTGCACAGGGACGGAATGCTAGCGTTGACTGAGCTGTGGCCAGGTGCTGGGGCACACATCTCCCTTGCTACGCGGTTGGACCCGGCTCCTCTGAAATCCTGGGTCAGGGGAAGCCAGAGAGGACTTCTCTGAGGTTCTAAGTGATACTGAGGTCACCGTCACCCCCCCCCCCCCCCGGCCTCGGCCTCAGCTCCGTCCCAGAGCCTCGCCGCCCTCCCTTCCTGGTCAGTTAGGCCTCTGAAACCGGGGACCGTCCTGCCTGCCCTCCGCTGGCCTCTGCCAGCCACACTCAAGTCTTTGCTGTCCTGTCTAGAAACGCCAGAGCCCACCTGTCAGGCAGAGGAGAGAGGTTCACGTGACAGCTGCGGCTGGCTGTGCCGAAGCCAGGGGCCCACAGCAGGGTACTTGGTCCAGGGCTTCCACGTGGGTGGCAGGGACTCACGTCCTGGAACCACCACGCCTGCCTTCCAGAGTTTGCCTCAGCAGGAAGCTGGAATCCAGGCTTGCCCGTGTGGGCCGTGGGCGTCCCAAGTGGCCCGACATGCACCCCTAAGTGCTGGGGGTGTTAGGGTGGGAGAGTTTGCAGGAGCAGGAAGCAGGAGGGCTGGACCTGTGGAGCTACGAACAGTAACCCCAGCCCTGGAGGAGCCAGCGCCCCGAGACGCCAGCCTCTGGAGAGGAGTGGGGGACAGGGAAACCGGGGCCTGGATGGGGAGGCTCTGGCCTGTCGCGGCAGCCAGTGGATTCACAGACGCCCTGTCTAGGTTGGACAGCGTGGGTGGGAGGGCACCCAAGCCAAGGCCCTACCCTACCCTACAGCACGGTGAAATGAAACAGGAGGCCTTGATCGCCGTGCACAGGAAGAAGGCGTTCGCCGGTGTGGGGGACTGCAGGCGCGAAGGCGGGATTCGGGCGGGAAGAGCGGGGCCGAGGCGGGGTCTGCCTCCGGCCGCGCGCCCCTCGCCGGCCCGCCGCCAGGGGGCGCCCTGCCGCGGGCGCGCTCGGGCCGCGGGCTGCGCTTGGGCCGTGCGGGCCGCCGTCGCCGCCCCGGCATTCCGTCGGCGTTCGGCTGCGCGGCGTCGGCTCCCGCGGCTCTGGGCGGCGCCGCACTCGGACCCCCGAGCGCCTGCGGGCCGGCGGCGGCCGCGATGGCCCCCTGAGCGGCCCGGGAGCAGGCAGCGGCGGGCGGGCGGCGCCGCGGCGCAGGCCTGGGGCGCGCCTCTTTGTCTCCACAGGCGTCCGCGGGCGGAAGTGGGGCGCGCGGGGCGCGGGGGGCCGCGCCATGAGCGACATCCGCCACTCGCTGCTGCGCCGCGACGCGCTGAGCGCCGCCAAGGAGGTGCTGTACCACCTGGACATCTACTTCAGCAGCCAGCTGCAGAGCGCGCCGCTGCCCATGGTGGACAAGGGCCCCGTGGAGCTGCTGGAGGAGTTCGTGTTCCAGGTGCCCAAGGAGCGCGGCGCGCAGCCCAAGGTGCGGCTCCGCGGGGCGCCCTCGCCACACCGCCCGGGCCCGGGGCTGCCGCGGGGACCCCGGCCCCCAGGGAGGCGGGCCGGGCGCCGCGGGCCGGCGCGCCGGTCTCAGAGCTTCTCCCGGATTTGTGTTCGCAGAGGCTGAATTCGCTGCAGGAGCTGCAGCTCCTCGAGATCATGTGCAGTTATTTCCAGGAGCAGACCAAGGACTCGGTGCGCCAGATCATCTTCACCTCCCTTTTCAGCCCTCAAGGGAACAAGGCCGACGACAGCCGGATGAGCCTGCTGGGCAAACTGGTCTCCATGGCCGTGGCCGTGTGCCGGGTCCCGGTGCTGGAGTGCGCGGCCTCCTGGCTGCAGGTACCCGCGCTGCCGTGGGGGGGTGGGGGGCTGGCTCCGAGGGTCGCCGGGAGGGGCTTTGGCGTGCCGCTGGTCCCTGGCGGGGTCTCGGCTCAGGTCTGTTAGCGCGCAGTCCCCCGGTCCCAGTTCGTAGGCGGAGCAAAGCCGCTCGTGCGCAGTGGTGAGGGTTTGTGTGTGTGTGTTTTCTTCAAACTTTGTAAAAAGTTGTTTGTTTATTTGAAAGGCAGAGGGAGAGCTCTTCCGTCCGCCAGTTCTCTCCCCAGATGAACCTGGACAGCCAGGAGCCAGGAGCCCCCATCCCAGGCTCCCACATGGTTGGCAGGGGCCCATTTTCGGCTGCCTTTGCAGAAGCAATGGCAGGAAGTGGAGCAGCCGGGCCGCCGGCATCCCATGTGGGCGCAGGTTCAAGTCCCGGCTGCTCCACTTCCCATCCAGCTCTCTGCTGTGGCCTGGGAAAGCAGTGGAAGATGGCCCAAGTCCTTGGGCCCCTGCACCTGTGTGGGAGACCCCAAGGAAGCTCCTGGCTCCTGGCTTCAGTTGGACCCAGCTCTGCCCATTGCGCCATATGTGGAGTGAATCAGTGGACAGAAGCCTCCCTCCCTAACTCGTTTTCTTTTGTTTTTTTTTGACAGGCAGAGTGGACAGTGAGAGAGAGAGACACAGAGAAAAGTCTTGCTTTGCCGTTGGTTCACCCTCCAATGGCCGCCGCGGCCAGTGCGCTGCGGCTGGCGCACCGCGCTGATCCGATGGCAGGAGCCAGGTACTTATCCTGGTCTCCCATGGGGTGCAGGGCCCAAGCACTTGGGCCATCCTCCACTGCTTTCCCAGGCCACAGCAGAGAGCTCGCCTGGAAGAGGGGCAACTGGGACAGAATCCGGCGCCCCAACCGGGACTAGAACCCGGTGTGCCGGCGCCGCAAGGTGGAGGATTAGCCTAGTGAGCTGTGGCGCCGGCCCCTCCCTCTCTCTCTCTCTCTCTCTCTGCCTCTGCCTCTCTGTAACTCTGCCTTTCAGATAATTAAATAAGTCGTTAAAAAATAAACCAGCACTGCGTATGGAATGCTGGCACCACGGCCTGGGAGCTAACCTGCCCTGCCACAGTGCTGGCTCCCTGAGGTTTTATTTATTTATTTATTTTAATGAATAAGAAAAAGGGGGGAAAGAATGGCTTACTTTTCAGGACAAGGAGATAACATTTTTCTGAGTTAAAAATGATGAGGTAGGATTTTGAAAGCATTATGCATGCCGGCTCACAGATGGGACTTTGAACAAAGTTTTGTGTTTGAAAGGCATAGCAGTAGGGGTGGGGAGGGGAGGGTGTCCGTGTCTCATCTGCTGATTTGCTCCCCAGGTGCCTGCAACAGCCCCGGGCTGGGACAGGCTTAAGCCAGAGGCTCTCTCTGGGTCTCCCGTGGGTGGCAGAGACAGGTTCTTGAGCCATCACCTGCTGCCTCCCAGGGTGCGCATTAGCAGGGAGCGGAGGTGAGGCAGAGGCAGGACTCAGCCCCAGGCAGTCGGCCGCAGGATGCCCTTGTCCCGAGTGGCTGCCTAGCCTCCTGTGCCACAGTGCCAGGGCTTTTTGGGAAGATCACTTTTTTGAGAAGATTCATTTTACTTATTTGAAAGGTAGAGTTCTAGAGAGAGAGAGAGATAGAGAGAGAGAGAGGTCTTCCATCCACTGGTTCACTCCCCCAAATGGCCACAGTGACTGGAACTGGGCCAGTCTGAAGCCAGGAGCCAGGAGCTGCTTCTGGGTCTCCCACATGAGTGGCAGGAGCTCAGACACTTGGCCATCTTTTGCGGCTTTCCCAGGCGCATCAACAGGGGCTGGATCAGAAGCGGAGCAGCCGGGACACGCACTGGTGCCCCTATGGGGTGCTGGTGCTGCAGGTAGTGGCTTTCCCTGCTACACCACAGTGCCGGCCCCAGGAAGAGGACTGTATATCAGATTGTGACGGTGCTTACCAGTCACTAGAGGGGTGTTGGGTTCTGGTTAGGTCAGTGAGCGGGTGCGTTGTTTTGCATTCGATCTGCGGTTGTACGGCTGACGGCTCTTTCAACACACGTCAAAGGAAAACACAGAGATTGACGGACGGTTGAGTGCTAGGTGGTATTTTGGGTGGATTTGCTTTGTTTTGCTTTTTTGCTGCCCAAAGTCTGAAAAATTGTTAATCCACCTCTAGTGATCATTAACCAACATTTTTTACTAATCTCATATCAGCCAAGCTAACAGGATTTCCATAGTTTCTTAAGGTTCTTCATTCCCAAGGACTCAGGTCTTTTCTTAAAGATTGGTTCCTATTTTTTAAATTTTGTTCTATTTATTTGAGAGACAGAGCGAGATCTGCCATCTGCTGCTTCACTCACCGAATCAGGAAGCTGGAATAGGGGAGGAGCTAGGACGCAGACCCCGACACCTATGGGGGTACAGGTGTCCCATTGGTGTCTTTTTTTTTATGATTTATGTATTTATTTGAAAGAGTTACACAGAGAGAGGAAGAGACAGAGAGAGGGAGGGAGGGAGGGAGGTCTTCCATCCCACTGGTTCACTCCCCGAAATGGCTGTAACTGCTGGGGCCGAAACCAGGAAACAGGAGCTTCCTCTGGGTCTCCCATGTGGGCACAGGGGCTCAAGCACTGGGTCATCCTTCGCTGATTTCCCAGGGGCCTTAGCAGGCCGCTGGATTGGAAGAGGAGCAGCCACGTCATGAACCAGCACCCATATGGGATGCCGGCATCTCAGGTGGTGCGTTACATGCTGTGCCAAAACACTGCCCCCCACAACCCCTTTTAAAGTTGTATTTAGTTGTTTGAAAGGCAGTTACGGAGAGGAAAGAGGGAGGGAGAGG